TTAAGTGCAGCAGGAAGTTTAACACCTTCAGTACTATGTTCTTGTGGAAAGAATAAAAAAGTTCTGATACATATCCATATTTAAATACTTACAAGATATGAAATTTTATAATTAATAAGAGGCTTACAAACACTTCCTTACTGTTACTATCATATTCAGACTAGATGACACGTATCAGTGTTATCTTGCTTTGCCTTTCCCTTTCCCTTTTTTCAAAAAGGATTATATGAACATAAAAAAGGCACATGCATGCCACCTGGTCATTGCTAGACAGACAGAAGAGAGACTTCAAGCTCATGTGCATGGAGAACACTTTACAGACAATCATTAGAAACTGGAAAATTAAGTTTGTAGTAACTGTTGATGGGAATTCCCTACCTTTCTTTTTTTGAGTTAGTTTGTTTTGTGGATTTCACAGTGACATACATGTAAAGTCACTTTGATCTAGTTAGCAAGTTAGTGATTTTACATGCCATAAGTAAGAGTGTGTTTCTATAAAACATTAGACATTTTAATTTCAAATTAGCAAAAACCTCTTGGTGACTCAGACACAAGCTACACTTAACATAAAAGAACTAATAAAAAATGTCCTAGAATGAAAAAAAAAAAAAAAAAGAATACATTTAAGCATACATAGATTTAGAGTTCAGCAAACATGGCAGTATCCTATAAAGTACCAGAAGTCCAAACAGGATCATTTGTTCACTCATTGTGGCAGAAATACTCTACATTGTATGAAAATTAAAGTGCTCACACAAAGGAAGGAGCTGCTTAGATCTGAAGCATTTCACCTTATTCATGATTGAGAAAACTGCAAAGGTTTATTTTTAAATTGTTGTAATTTTAAACATTACCATGGAAATGCCTGAAGTGCCTCAGAAATGTTGCATACTAATTTTGTCTAGTTTCCAATACGTTCTTCTCTAGTTACCCTCACCTTTTCCAATACAGGAAGCCAAGATGTAACAAGATGCAGGTTCTTTAAACACAGCCATTCTCCATTGCGTGCACATTCTTTTAAAGTTTGAATAGCCAGGTCAGCTTGGCCTTGGCCCATTGCAATCTGAAATGAAAGACACAGTTGTATCAGGAATTTATCATACCTCATTTAACAGCTAAATACAAAATTTTCTTTCCAAGTTAGACTGCATATGTAAAAAAGGTGTGCTAAAGATAATCAGAATTCTTTCTAACGTGACAGACTACTAAAACAGGTAAAAGATTAATGAAAACATAGTTTTTTCTTTGCAACCTAAACACCATTACCTAGTCTTTTTATGGAAAAAAACATTTGGTGACAGTGATGGTATTCCCTGGGAACTCAGAAAGCAATTTAAGTATCATTGACTGAACTGTATTACTGCAGAACTGCTGATACAATAAAAACAAGAGATAAATGAGAATGAATTTTCTTTTGACTGTAAGTTAGGAGTACTTCCTTTGAAGAGAAACACTCAATTTCATATTGAGATGACTGAAAAACTAAGGCTACTCTCTTTCTAACTGGGAAATATGAATAGCTTAACAGTCTTTTCTTCATTTTTTTATAGTACCATATTGCTGCTAAAATAAATTTAGATCTTCAAATGATAATACAAAGATCCAAAACTGAATTTTCAGATAAATTAGTGAAAACTGAAAATAAAGAAAGGACTTGTTCTGTGGCACAATTACTGCAACAATTGATGTTAGACTATCTGTAGAGTACATTCACCTTAGTTCTCCCTTAGAATCTAATTGGAAGCTATACATAACAAAAAACCCTGAACCAAACAGGTTGAAAAGAAAGTGGTCTTAGCCAATCTGAGAAGTCATGTCTTGGTATTACTGCTATAACAAAATAGAACTAAATAAAACTGAGTATAATATCTTGAAATAAATTAAAAGAGAACTGAAAGTCACCAGACAATATGGTAGTACACCACACAAATTTAGTGGTCTGTTCTTTATTCCATATGAGAAATGATTCAACAGAGAAGAAAAATCTGATCTTCTGCATTCTGTTGAAATTGCATGAGAAAGTGCAGGAAAAAATAACAACAACAAAATATTCTCATTAGTAGGACAACTTTCAGGTGACTTAGCTTTGAGTACCACTCCTTAATCAAATACCATACCATGTTACAATTTAAAAGTCGAACATGTAAAGGATATTTAGAGATTAACACAAAAAGCCATGTGGCAGAGTAAGAAATATGCATTCTGAAACATTCACAGCTAGATCAGCTGGCAGTAGGATCTAAATCTTTACAATTTGATGGGAAAAATACATTACATCAGTGCACACTCCAGGAGAGGAACAATTTCAAGGACTATTTAAAAGCAACATGAAACCTGACATTTTCCATTTCTATGCTAAACAGTGATCAGCTAGATAACAACTCCCTTCCCCTGAATATTTCAAATGACAGAAGGAAATAATGTTTTACAGAAAGGTATAAAGCGTATTGGTACTGTGTATTAGGAATATTAGGAAACCACTTGGATCATAGAATAATTTAAGTTGGAATGGAACCTCGAAGGTCTCTTGTCCAACCTCCTGCTCAAAGTAGGGCCAGCTACGAAAGACCAGACCAGGAGCTGAGGGCTTTGTCCAGTGGATTCTTGGGAACCTCCAAGGATGGAGACTGCACCAGGAAATCTGTTTGACTGTTCTCATAGTGAAAAAGGTTCTCCTTACATCCAGTCGTAACCTATCTTGTTACCATTTATGCCCATTGCTTCCTTCCACCATGCCTGACTGCAAAGAGTCTGGATCCATTTTCTCAGTGACCTTCTTGTAGGTATTGAAAGGCTGTTATTAGGTCATCACAAAGACTTTTCTGCTGGCAGGGCACAGTGTTGGCTCATGTCCAGCTTTTCATCTACAAAAACCCTCCAGTGCTTTTCAGCAGAGGTCCTCCCCAGCCAGTCAATCCATTGCCTGTAACATTGCAAGGGTTTCTTCCTTCCCAGGGGCAGGACTTCGCATTTCTTGAGTTCTGTAAGGTTCCTGTCAGCCAAGGAAAGTCCAGGAGAGTTGTGAGCCCATTGCTCAGTAGGGCAAGGCACATAGTGACACGGCACATGGAAAAGGTTGAGGTACTCAGTGCCCTTTTAGTCTGAGGTTTCACTGCTGAGGCTTGTTTTCAGGCCTCCCAGGTCTCTCAAACCTTCAAGCAGGAGTGAAGCAATACCCACAGTAGAGACAGAGAGATTTAGGAATCACTCAACACACTTAGAAATAAAAAAGTTCACAGGAAGAGATGGGTTGCATCCAAGAGTCCTGGGGGGCCAGCTAACGTCACTCCTTGCTCTCATCTTCAAAATGTTAGATTGATCTGGGGTGTTTGCTGATGAAAAATATCACATTCATCTTGAAGAATGGCAAGAAGGAGAAAAATCTAGGTAATTACAGGCTGGTCAGCCTCCACTCAGTCCCTGAGAAGGTTATGCAGCAAGTCCTCTTAGAAGCCATTTCTAAACACATGAAGAACACAAAGGTCATAAGGAGCAGCCAATATAGATTTACCAACGGCAACTTATGCCTGACTGACTTCATTGCTTTCTATGATGAGGTGACTGCCACTGTGGACAAGGAGATGTCAGTAAATGTTGTATACCTTGACTTTAGTAAGGCTTATCCCCCTTATCACCAAATTGGAGAAACATGGGCTGGAGAAAAATAACATAGGCAGAAAAATGGGTGGACTGTTGGGCTCACAGGATGGTCAGTGGTGCAGAGTCCAGCTGGCAGCCAGTAACTAGTGGTATCCCTCAGAGATCAGTACTAGGACAAATACTGTTTAATGTCTCATCAGTGACCTGGGTTATGTGACTGTGTGCACTCTCAGCGAGCTAATGGATAACACCAAAGGAGTTGGGGGGGAGGGTGAGCAACGAATACACTGGAATACCAACCCCGAGTAGCAGGGTTGCTACTCAGATGGACCTGAACAGGCTGGAGAAACAGGTTTGCAGTTCATGAAGTTCAGTAAGGCAAATGCAAAATCCTACACCTGGGATGGAATTACCCCCTAGGCTAGGGTCTGCCTAGGAAGCAGCTTTGGAGAAAAGGAGGCCCTAGTGGACAAGTTGAATATGAGTCAACAATGGGCCCTTGCAATAAAGGCCAATCCCATAATGAGCTGTCATTAGTAAAAGCAGTCAGCAAGTCCAGGGGAGTGATCCTTCCCCTCTTTTTGGAAATTGTGAGACCACATCTTGAGTACTGTGTCCAGTTTTGGGCTCCCCAGTACAAGACAGACATGGTCATACTGAAGTGACTCCAGAGCAGACCACCACCATGGTCAGGGCACACTGAGCAGGGTTTGTTTAGCCAAGCAACCAGGACACCTTCTTGCTCTCTACAACTACCTGATTGAAGAATGCAGAGAAGATAGAGCCAGACTCTCAGAGGCACATGTGATAGGACACGAGTCAATGCACACAAGTTGGAACATAGGAAATACTGATTCAATATTAGGAAAAACATTCTCCTTTGAGAGTCATCAAATACCGGAACAAGTTGTCCAGAGATACTGTGGGATGTCCATCCTTGGAGGGGGAACCTCCCCTCTCTGAGCAGGGGGTTGAAGTAAATGATCTCCAGAAGTCCCTGCCAATCTAGGTTATTCTATGAATTTAACAGATATAGTAATTTTTTTCTTAAAAAAAGAAGAGTTGTTTTCAACACCTCTGCATAGATCCAATTTTGAAACAGACACAGAAAATATAAAGTGATTTCTTAACAGTATAATTCCTGATTAAAGTCTACTCAGGGGGAATTATCTTCACCCAGTTCAGTTTTGTGTTGAATGAGAAACAGGGAAGAAGTTGTATACCATGACAAAAAAACAACTGTTATATTGGCTGGGCAATTGGCTGGGTGTTGTATGCCTATTCCTGAAATCTGAGGGCTTTACCACATGGCTGATCTTAAAGACTTTTTTAAAAGACTTGAAATATAAGCGCCCTGTTCAGGAAGTCCCATCAAAAATTAATCGGTTAACATTTACTTGTAAAATTTCTCAAATTATTTTACAGAATTTCACAAAATACCTAAGTATTCACAAACACTGAACATCTGATTTATGTTTTCTGCTGAAGAAAGAAATTTGCAAGTTCTATAAGCACAGGAAAATTATGAAGCCTAGTTTTCAGTAGGTTTTCTTCATATTTCAATTATTTCACTCTAAAAAAGATTATGTTTTAGCATGTGTAACAATTCTCAGTCTCTTTTGTCCTCTTCCATCTATCTTCTCATTTTTCCCTTCTCCAAGTTGGAAGAATGCCTCTCGTGTGGATTCTGCTTCTGTGAGGATCAATGTGTCTCTCTTCTCCACCACATTTTGCCAATGGAATCGGAAGTTAGTGGTGAGATAGGTGGGAACAACAAACACCAAACTATGCTTTTACATAGTAACTTCCTTAAAAACTGAGGTAAAACAGATATTACTACTGTAAAATTTTACACATTGTGGTTTTTAATCATTATGTTTATCTAAGACTGACCTGATGGTAGCACTCAGTATTTCTTTCAACACTGGCAAGTTCTTGCAACTCTTGAGAAGGATCAGCACCAGGAGAAATAATTATCAAGATGGGCTCAATTTCCAGAGTTTCTTTATACAGACGTTTCAAATTCAGAGGCGATGGAGATAATTCTTTTATTCCTATAATTAGAATTATTATGGAAATAAAGTGACTACACAGGATGGAGTGCTTCATTAACCACTTTAGAGGTCACCTGGCTTTCAAAATTCTGTTCAATGCAAACCATAAAACTGGTCCTACAATGAGAACAAAATCCTTACAATATGCAGGTAGAAGGCACCCTATACTGATCAGAAAAAGACACAAACACCAAAACGGTGCCTGGACTTCCAGCTTGACAAATATGAATGGCAGTCTTTATGGCAGTCTTTATTTAGAATGTAGTCTTTGAGAAAACATATCAAAAAAGAAGAGCTGGAATATAAGAATATGAGAAGCTACGCTATTTGCTAAAACTAATTGCAGTGTGTATGTCCACATGCAGAACTTTTCTCCCGTATTGTCCCGAGAGCCTTAATTATTAGACTTTGACTTTACACAGTTCTTCGTACTACAGTTACTTTAGTCTATTGTTTGCTTTAATATAGAACTTAAATGTTTAGAACGTTGACCTAGTATAGGCAAGGCATTTATACACAAGCCCAAAGCTATGTGTATAAGTGTATCATAAACTTAAACAGTGTTAACCACATATTTGCAATGCAAAATGCATAACTGGTCCTTAAATAGTAGAAGTGGTATGTGCAATGGGAAATCACAACATAAAGCAAGACAAAAGAGCCCAAATCAGTGACATCTATGCCACACCCACTAAAAGATGGAATACACATTTCCTTGAGGGCACAGTCTGCTTTCAGACTTGAGTTATTATCTCCACATAGAATACTATATAATTTAAATATAACAGGTTAGGTTGGTAAAGGTTAATATGAGGTCTGGGTTCTCTTCATGTATCTGTACAGAAACTCTAACAGATGCAGCTAAACAGATAAAATCACTATCAATCAAAATGCTTTAGAAAAATTGAATTAAACAAGACTAATATTGGAAAATAGTTTCATTTTACATTCATTAGGTGTGTAGAGGTAATGTAAGCAGAGATAAATATATAAACTGAGGCCATAAGGCAATTGATACGGGCAGCTCCCTTGATGAGTTCTGCTGCTCACTGCCGATAAGCCCTAAACCCTAGAAGATCCATAAAATAACACTGAAATTAAAGTAGGGCTGTTCAGTGCTGGACTGAAGCATGCTCAGTGAGTAAGGGACACTTAACTGCCAGAATCTCAAAAATGTCTGACAAACATCTGCAAGTTGTTTCTCAATGAATCCTGTATTGGCCAAATTTGGATGCATATTCAGAAGGCCTGAAAAAAGTTTACACTTTGAATGAAAGCTGCCCAGCATACTAGCTTTCAAGTCATTCCTCCAAACTGAGCTTATAGTAACATTTTTCACAAATACAAGGTACTCCAGATTTAACATTCCCTTCACTAACATCATAAATGAAAATAGCTATACTATTGGTGGGGAGGAAAGAAAGAAGGAAAATAGACAAATTAGCTAAGAAAAAAAAAGTAACTTGATATATATATATATCTAGAGATTGGTTTGGTTTTTTTCAACTACAGTCTTTATTCAAGCTACTTGAGTCACTCTAAGCAATAAAAGAAAAATACCAGGAAGTAGAACATGATAGCATTCTCTAGGGTAGGAATGCTTATTTTAGTTAGTTTTTGTGAAAAAGTGCTTACAACGCTGAAAATGAAAGATGGTATTATGCCTATAATTAGAAAATCCAACATCAAATATTCCTTTTTGTGGATGAGGACAAGGAAGAGGTACTTGTGATGCGTTCTGGTATTTGGCCTATAAACCACTGTCTTGCACCTTAAGCAAGTTTCACCTCATCAAATCCCTCTCTATTGAGTTGTATTCACTGTAACTATATTTCACTGTTGAACTATCAAAATATAAATGTTTCCTTATTAATTTAATATAAATATTAAAACTTTACATAATTACATAATTTTAGATCAAAATCTGATTAAAAGTAAGGTATTGGAAAGGTAAATTTTAAGTTTTATTAACTTTTATTTCAGTGAAGAAAATAATTTTGAAAATCTTCACTACTGTTTCCAATCCTATGAAGGATACAGGACTAAAAATATCTGTTGAAGTCAACGGGCAGCAAGGATACAAAAACCAAACAGAGATCTTTCTGACCACTAATTAACACTGCGGAATGGGCATCATGCAATGCTGCAGATACACGTTATTACATGGAAAAGCAGAACAGATATACAAAGTCATAGAAGTAAAATCCACTGGGTCTTTTAAGTACCGTGTTATTACTTCCAGTTCAGAAACCTTGGAGACATACAATACTGGTCACTGCAGAAGGTTTCACTATAGGCTTGTGATGTTCTTATACTCTTGCCTTGACATTTATTATTTGTCATTGATAAAGACAGTAACACGCTAGACAGACCTCTCTTCTTCACTTGTTCAACCATTCTTAAGTTCCTGTTCCTAAGACTGCTTTGCTGCTACAAACAGGTGCGTGGAATATACTACAATCAAGATAAACCAGAGACTGTTGGCTGTATTATTATTTTTAGCAGTGCAAGCAGAAGGCACGCATATTCCTGAGAAGCTTAATTGATTAGGAGTTTTGATATCCTACATAACTCTATGTGAACTGGGGACTACTGCTTGGCCTTGCATTAACTGAGGAATAGAATAAAAAGCTATGACTGGGCAATAGATGAATGTGTGTACACCTGCAACTTACGTTATGTAATAATGTATTTATGATAATGATGCTAATTTAAAAGAGGTGCAATTGTAAATGAGTAACTGCCTAACCAAATATATTGTAGCACTCTTGAGATGCATCATTTAGAAAATTAATACATTTTAAGTTTTCTTCCATAAAACAGTTTGGTTTTTTAGAAATCTGGACACAATGTTTAGAAAAAGCATAGCTATGCTGAAGGTGCTTTTTGTTTTAAGGAAGCTCAACAGAAGTGAAATATAGAAAAACTACAATACAGCCCTGTCTATTCCTGGCCATTAGAATTAAAGCTACAGCCAGGATTACATTTAGAGAACTGTAAAAAAGGACTTCAGTGTTTTCAGGGTAAATCAATAAGCACTCATATTCCAGATAATAACTATGCAGTCAGACTGGGAATTCCTGACATATTTTTCTGCCTCCATGTTCTGTTCTGACAGAATTTCTTAAATCTTACTATACAAACTGACATCCTGACATGGGAAGAAAAAGCATATGTGAGAGCAAATAACTTTTCAGAAAATGTCTAAAGTGTGTGTGGGGGTGGAAATCAAAGAGGAAAAAAGAAAGACCTGACATATAAATACAAAGTTTAGCACAGCATGCAAACTTCACATTTTGTATAAACTGATGAAGCTTCCATAAAATCAATGAACAACTTTTCACAAAACCTCTGTACTAAAGTCAATGCAATTAAACCAATCTACAGCAGCTGGAACTTGAATTCAAAGTGCTTGTTAAAATTCCTTCTGTTGGTGATCTGTACACAGAGAAACAATGTACAAAAATATTAGTAAATGTATTATTACTATTTACAATTCCAATACAGAAAGCAGGAGAGGTTGTTTTTTTTTTTATTTTGGCAAGTAATTTTATTTTGGCCTAGATGCAATGTGACCATGAGAGCTCTGGTCTACTTTATAGAAAATGGGTCTGTGGGAATAAAATACAGACTTGTTTAGCCTGCACTGATTTTCTTTCTTTGTATCTCTACTGCTTTTTTGAAGGATATGAAAACGCAGGTAAATTAAAATCAAGCCTCTTTAAATGCTATTTCTGATGTAGCCAGACTCAAAAAACTAAGTTAAAGCAGATATGAAAAAAAACCAACTCAATGAGCGCTATGGAATGATTTGGAGTATACTGTCAATATTATTTTTGTTAACATGGTGCATTTCAGTATAGCATGTAAAATAAAGAAATAAGCATACTTTGGGTGCCCACAAAATACATTTTTAGAAAATTCTTATGAACTTCATCTTTGAAAGAAAATATTTTAATCCCCCTTCATTCATAAATTTAAAAGTATATGTAAAAGATGAAAAAGGAAAAAAAAAACATATCTGGATAAAACAGAAATGGGAGGCTTTCTGGTAGGCTATTACAGCTCTTTTGGAACTCATTTTTCTCACAGGAAAACAGCCTAAGGAGATTTGAAACTTAACGGTTCCCTTTTGAACTAAGTCAAACAGTTTATTTAAGAAGTTTCAGGGCAAAGACCCTGAAAAAGACATGACAGAAAAAAACATGAAAAAAAATATTCATACAAGCTTGACCCCTTTCATTAGTTGGAAAGTGTTAGTCATGATTTATGACATGATCTCAAAATAAAGTCTCACTGATATGCATGAAAAATCTGTGGATGAAACCGTGCCTACAAATGGAGTCTGGTATTTGGCCTTCCTCAGTGAGACTGTAGTTTCATTCAACAAAAACCATTCCCTTGTGGAACGCCTCCAGGGAACTGGTATCAAGATAGACCTAACCAATTTATGTAATACATTAAGATTTGGAAGACAGTAAGTGGGTGAATAAACTTATTCTGAATTCAGGTCTCTGCTGGGCTCTGAGATGCACGTACTGCAGATCGCACTTTGATTCCACAGGCAGGGACGTTGTCCGTGTGGGACCTGTACACTCAGCATGATGAAAGAACCCCCTCTATCTACTAATGTTTGACAGAGTAGGCTAACCTTACTCCTGAAAATACTGGCCTTGGTGGCAGACATGGAACGAATTTTGACCAACAAATAATGCCCACAGACAAAGCATAAAGAGGGAGTAAGATACACTCTCACACAAATGCCATTAAAAATGCAAGAATCAGAGACCTAACTCATACCTAATCTTATTCTAATAAGAAATTACACATATTTCAAGAACTTAAAATTACCACAGTCATTGTTTTTCATATGTAACTCATCTATTGGTTTACCATGCAAAATTGCCCATCTCAAGATCATTCAAACTGCAGATCTTTACAAGTACTGAAAATGTAAGTCCAGCCATATTACCTTGGCAGTCTATGAGTCAATTTTCCAGGTTCATTTCTACCACATTAACAACAGCCTTTGCCACTTACATTTAAGGTCTTTACAATCTAGATCCTTTCCCTTCTGTTAATCCCACTTCTGTCCTGACACTGTACCACATTAAAACCAACAAATTCTGCTTTGTCCTTACATAACGCAGAGGGTGACTTTTAAAACTACAATGTCCACCCCAATTAGACACTCATAATTCATCTTCCATATGCGTATTGTCATTAACTGCTAAAAACTGAAGGAAGGCTTTGGTGTGCTGTATTGCGATATTAAAATTATTTGGAATGTAAGTCCCAAACCTCAAAGAGGAAACAGACAGACTAGAACAAATAGACAATCATAGTATTGAATCACTCTAAATCAGTGTATTTCTAAACAGACAGTAAAAATTGTATTACAGTCCAAAAGACTGACAAAAATGACTAATAATATAAAACAATCTTTTGAGATCCAATTTACAAAATCTCAAACATAATGGTTTTTACATGGTAAATGACATTAAATGAAATAATCTTTCTGGAAAATTTGTGTCTTAAGGAAAATGCTGCAGTGTAAAACTTACAGAAAACCAGCTATCCTCCTTTCTTAATTACTCCAGTGTTCAAGAATTCATTAAAAGAATCTGACAGATTTTTATTATATTTTAAATCACTATGCAAACCAAACCATTTTAAAAGCACTTTTTAACAATACTTTACAGGAAAAAAAAAAATCAGCAAAACCATTAATAGCATATTTTCAAATCCTAAAACTTAGGGATTCCATAAGAACTATAAAACAAAAGAGAAACATAGAACAAAAAAAAATTATTTAATTGCTGTGTGGAAACACCCTGGCAAAAAATTAACTTACCTAGGGTTTTACATGCAAAAAGAGCCATGGCACTCTGTAGCCTATCTGGTCTGACAGCCTGGATCACAAGTACCTTAAAATAAAATATATTCAGGTGAGATGAGTTTATAAAAGTATATTGTGACAATTTAAAAAGCAAGACTCTTTAGAAAAACTTATATTCTCTGAATATATAGAGCTATCTGATCATTCCTTTCCAAGGTAATCTAATGTAATTGTTCTTTTGTGAGTAGCTTGTCCTATTAATAGAATCAGAAGATAGATCTACATCTAACGTCTATTTGTAAGCTGGAACTTTTTCTACAATGTTTTAGAAAAAAAGGTAGCTATGTGGGCAGCTGGAATGACAAAAAGCAAACTTAGCTTTATACTGGTAATCTAAATTCTATACGTGTATTTAGGCAGTAACTTCCTAACTGAAATGTTTCTGAATTCAGTGCAGTAATACAGTAAAATAATCAGTTTTGAAAGAATTTCCTTTGTTTAAGCACACCTTTGGAGTTTTACATCTAACTTTTTTTTCTGAGACATACTGACTTTCAGACATCCTAGTTATGCAGATGCTTTTACTGTTCTTCAAAAGACTACAGAACACAAACAGCTAATCAATTCAGATACAAATTTAAACAGCAGTTTCCCTACCTCGTTTTTCAGTTAACTTCCTGCAAACGTTGACTGCAGGCAACTGCAGGCAACTAATGCAACTTCAGTAAAAATTATTTGTTAAAATCACCACCCTTCTCCTACCCCCTTACTTGCAGACCTGTAAGCCACAATTCTGAACCTACTATCACATTCCAGTTTCCAAGTCTGGAATATCTGTTGTTAGTTTTGGAGGAAAAATTTAACTTCATTAAGTTTTTAAGAAAGTACTACTTTTTAAGCCTGAGATTACACTGAGTGTTACTGCACTATTTTTAAGTTTAACATTCTGTTTGAAAGAAACTAACTTATGAGTGGCATATGAATCTAACCGGATAGTTTCAGTACATTTCATCAATAGAAACATTCTTAATACTTTCTGTGCAAGGAACTGAATATGTAATATGCTGATCATTCCAGATTTATTTTCCTATAAATGCAGAATTTTTATGACAACACATTGCGCACATAAGAATTGCTCTTCTGCATTTCATCAAACCAAACATGACTCAGACAAATTCCTTTGCAAATTGGTTTGTTCCTAAATTCCATGCATGCTATTTTAGAAATTCTCCTCCTCCAGAAAAACTCAAAATAGAGAGCCCCTAAGAGCCAACCAGCATGGAAGTACATTGTCTTATATCTCATCCCTTCTTTGGATGGGCCTCCATTTTATATGAAGTGACTTCAAATGAAAAATCACAGCATCATTTGAAATTAAGTAACGACACCCTTTCTTCCATAAACACAAGAAGGATCACATTTTTCTCTTCCAGAGGAGAAGGATCCTTGGGTAGAGGAAGGAACCTGTGCCTCCAACATTCTTGGTGAGTTCTTTAACCACCAAGCTTTCAGAAAGAGTAGTATTTCATGACTACTATTCTAAGAAGCAGTGGCTGCTACTGCGTTTTGCGGTTTTCAGTCAGATGTGTGAGTTTGCACATTTAATGATGAACTAAATTAATGGTGCTCAACAAGCTGACAAATTCTGCAGTAACAAAGCAACCATGAAATAATTTTAATACCTGTTCATAAAATTAATTCTGTGAATATTAATAAAGAGCTTGTTACCTTGCAGTTGCAGCCAATACACCAACATAGAAAAGACTCAGATAAGAGAGAACTAAATATGTATTATAGAAAGAAAAATAAATCCTTAGACTAAATAAACTAGTTAAGCTGTAAGACAATGTAGATACTGTCACTGCTTATAATTCAACCAGTCCTGAAGCCTAAATTTCCGAGATGTAAAAACTTACTTTCAATGCTGAACTCATAATTATTTTTAAATAATTTAATATAGAAAGATTACCTGCTGAAATAAGGAAATTCTTTTTACAATAATAGATGGAAAGTCTTGTTCACACACAGAGCTCTGAGAAAAAGTGTGCCACAAACCTTCATCTTGAAAGAAAAGTGTCTGATAGAGACTTGGGAGAGAAATCTACAAAACAAATCATGCATATTTAACAATAAAGAAGAATAACCATTTGGACATTGTATATATTAATTAATTTACAAATACCACTATGACCCTAAACCTGTAAATACTTGTGCATATCACATAATTCAATTTTATCCTCAGAGTTAAAGAACAAAAGGGTATGTTTTCAAATCAACCATTTGTTTACCTATTCCCTGGAAATGTTAAGTCTGTTATTTGATCGATATTTTTGCTTTTAAACTGCTAGGTGCTTTGTTTTTAAACTTTGGGCTCTACCCAATTGGGCTCTACTCCTTTCCTTTAATCTTGACCAGGTTCTTTTTCTACCAGTACATGCTACTGATTCACCCAGTTACTTTCTGTTTGTTAGTTTGTTTGTTTGTTTAAACCCCTAACAACCATGCTTGCCACACCATTATTGCAATTGTTCCTGATCCCTGGTGAAGAGAAATGAAAAATAACGAACTCTGTATTTAGCAGCAAAAGTCCTTGCCAAAGACTGGTCAAGGTTTTCCTTCTTGCTGCTGAGCTACATGCAGGAGGAGAAGAGCCCAAGACAGAATTTCAAGGACTAGTATTTTCATTTAGTTCCCTTCAGGATCAGAGGACTTCAACATTGATTGTTATGGGATTAATCAAAGCAAGAAAGTGTTTTTTGTTTTAGTTTGAAATTACTTGATCTGAGCAATAACAAACTCTGAAATCCCTTTAAAGGTGTGCATGGAAATATGGTAAGTAGAAAATAGTTTCCCAATTAACAGTGTATGGTTTTTAATACAATATGAAGTGGTTTGTGAAAGTTATTACATAACAGAAACCTGCAACTTAAATATTCTTTGCAATTTTTCTTCTGTATATTTTTCTGTCTATAGAAATTGTAGTACCTGGGTAGGCTTACAACATTTTCTTATCTAAGTAAGATGATGGGTTCATTCACATGCATTGAAATTCATTGTTAAATGGTGTGAAGATGTACATTAAAAGGCTCAGAAAAATGAGATGAAATTTAAAAAGCATAGAGGTTTTTTTTCAAATGGGTATATATTAAGCCATGGTTTCTGGAAGATATAATAAACAGTTTAAAATAACAAAATATTTCCATCTGACAAATACTCAAATATGAGTATTCAAGTCCAAATTACTATTTGCTGAAACCAAAGGCTTTTTAAGCTAAATTCAACCCACCACGTGATGTATACCTTCAAAGATGCTACTGCCCAGGCTCGGTCCTGTTCTATCCAAGAGGGAATGTGGTCACGAACACTTCTTTGTGAATCCTTATTGAAGCAAGTTACATGTTATATACAAAAGTTTTGTGAAACACTATATTCAGTAATAATATTGTGAAACCCATGTTTTTAATAAAGATAGCATTCATAACAGGAATCTTTCTGTGGTCTTTTGCTAAGTTCATAAATGACATAACAAAAACAAATCTACCAGTAATTTGCGACATACTATTCACATTAACGTTTGCTTAACTACTTGAGACTGAAAATATTTTATCATTTAGAGTATCTGTATGACACCCTCAAGTCTAAGTAGTTTTCTTTTCCATTAAAAACAAGTGACCCAAATGATTGGCTATCTGCATATGCACTCTGAACAACTGACTTCAAAAAATAACTCCATCGCCTGTATTCACAGTCATAAAGAGGATAGTTCTTTACACAAAGAGTAATTCTGGTGTAATTCACTAGCAAAACATCACTTCTGGACATCTCTGCACTGGTAAAGTTTGGCCACAGCTCTATATTTCTGCTCCTTTAGATGTTGGGCATGGAGGAAATTCTAAGGATGAACAACATAGCTTAAGCTCCAGTGGAATCTCTGTATTCACCATATTAGTTTTTATTAAAAAATCTTACAGTACCCATTAACCAGTCTGACAGTCTCTGTATGGAAATGCACCTCTCAACGATTGAGCAACTTTAAGAGTAATCTTAAACATTCAGCAGAAAAAAGCAAAGCTTTCTTGCGAAAGCATAGCTCAGCCACGAGTTAGGAAGTCTGAGAAAGAACAAAAGTAGGAAACTCGGAAGCAATTCTAGGAGTAAATTTGAGATGGATCTGCAATATATATGTCAGTTAGAATTGGGGTTCAATTATGTACGTCCACAATCTCTCCAAAATCTATGAGTTGTTTCTTAGGTGGGGTAGAAGTAGGACTAGTGTTAAATTCCATTATAAAATCAGATATCACATAGCTTGAAAATGACCTACTGCAAGAAAATACTTGACATTCACCAAGTTCACTGACATCTAATTGAATTACAAAGACTCCATAGAGATGAAGAGGGACTTTTATGTTCACACTGAAATGCAAAACCTGTAGAGTCGTCTAAGGGCTAGAGAAACTGAGAATTTAAGGACCTTTTTAGCAATCAGCTGCCTAAATAAGAAAATCTGAGTTTTAAAAATTGTGTTTTAAGTGACTTGCCACTTCTGCCAGCATGCAGGTGAACACAGTTGGTGTCATGGATATTCTAAAAACAAGGTACTCACACTGGTCATTGTCTTCTACCACTGGATGTATGAGATACCCTGACAGATATCTAAACAAGGCTAAAGGTTAAAAATAATTGGGAATGATGAAAACTGCAGCTAAGCCTGATGGAAGTGAGCTAGCCTGACCCTGAATGAAAGAGTAGATTAGCAACAGAAGAGGCTGAGCTCATGATTCCTGACTGGGCTCATGTTTCCTAAAAAACACCTTTCAAAACTTTTGTCAAAATATTTGGTTCAAAGAAGGGCTATAATAGATAAGACTATGGAAAGCTTAACTTTTTTCTCTACCGTTTGCTACTGGAAGGTTGTTTTGAAAGTATACAGATTCAATAGAATTGAGGGACAGACACATAGTAAACTACAGTATGATTGGTCAGACATGGAACAGAAGCTTTTAAAGCTAGCTCTGTCACCTAGGAAAGTATATAAATACAACTCCAGATGCAGAACTCTGAGGCTGAGGAAAAAAGCATGTCAAATTAGCAAAGTGTGTGGACAATCCCACCAATCCATACAGAAAGTACCACTCATATATGATAGTGGGAGAAAGAGGGATTCAGAAACACTGATTTTAGTTACAGAAGTGGGCTTAAAACCTTCTCAAATATACCATTGAAAAAAAGAAACTGCAATCCTGGTAACAGAAAAAGAAGGAAAAAAAAAAAAGCAACAAATGCAAAAAGTTATGCAAATTAGAAAATGAGTGCCATGTTCAAAAAGTTTAATAATATTTTTATTTCTATGTGAGAATTTATCTGTTCCTTTCATGTATGAATACAATTAATCAAACACTATAGTAAGAATACAACCTTAACTTTTCAGGATTTAAGTAAATGTTCCTTATTTCAAAATGCACAAATAAATGTAGCTTACTGATTTTCTTATGGTATCTCCAATGATCACACCTGTAAAAGTCTCCCATTCCTAGGGGGAATAAATAAACAACTCAGGTAAGTCACAAGATATCTTTAAGAATAAAGACTAATGTGTAGTAGCATGTAGGCAAAACAAGAAGATAAACAAAGCCTAGATTCTGAAAGAGGTATAAGACATTTTTAAAACTCCAGGTAATACTACCAGTATGTAATTCCCTTTGCAGAATCCAAGCTAAGTGATTGCAGTGCTTTACAAGCCCTATCCTTTCTCAGCACCCACAGCTGCCACCCAGATCACCTAACTACAGACTAGAACAAGTAACATACTTCGCTGGCAAAGACACACATACTGCCTGATAGGGTATCAACAGCTTACATAGAACAGAATCCATATTTCAATATTGTTTCATGGTGTAGTATCCAAAAGATGCAGTTATAAGAACAAGAGGAATACTTAGTATAATAGATTGGTATTATGAATAATTCGGTTGCATTAAGAAAGGGGAAATGTAAGTTGAATTTATGTTATGATTAAATCTTTTAGACTTGGTATTTGTATCCAGGAAGACAGCTTTTAATCATTTTAAGAGAAATTACATTATTTAAAAACATACTAGAAATGACATAATCCTATATTTGGAGGTGGTAAGAAATATACCAAAAAACCTTCAGAGTATTGAAATTTTACATAATCAGTATCTATAATTCTATGATAAAGATTTTTTTTTTTTAATTGTTAAAGACAATAGTAACATTCCAAATGAAAAAGTCAATCAACTAGTACTACTCTGATACAGACCACAGCATAGCTTTTTGCATCCATCAATCTAGTTGAATCTTGAAACAACTCTCTCTTTCAATTACAAACTGATGATCCTCTCCCAATTACAAAGAAAATGCTCATGTGCAGAAAAATACATGAAGGCTTCCTAGTCTTAAAAGCAGAAATCATATAATATTTTTATGAAGAAAAGCAGAAGTATAATATGTAGAGACTTGTAAAACTACCTCTGAAAAATCTATACATATTGATTCAGAAAGAGAATGTCTCTACTAAGAGCCAAGGCATTCTATAATATAATGGTGAAGTTGTACTACAAAATTTCTCATCACTATGCAAAAAATTCGTAAGTGCAGAAGGTTGAACTCTTTTGGGATACGAACTTAGAATACTAAATTCTCTAGCAGCAATAAGTGACTTCTAGCCTTATCACATTAAAAGCTTTAAAAGAAGTAACTTTAAAAGAATAACCACTTCAGCTTCATTTTCCTCGATAAATATTTTGCACAAGCACTCTTTTCTTAACAATTTAATTAAAATAACTTCTACCTTTCAGAGGAGTAAGAGAATTATTGATATTATTTGCCTGTTTTAATCCTTGAGTACTCAGATACTGCAGGGATGTGCATTATATGTAACCTCGATTATGCTGGTTAAGAGCTCTGATAGCTGATGGAAATGCACGCTAAACAATAGCAACCAACACATAAAGCAGTACTTACAAATACTTAAGAAGCCTAGGTAGCCAGGCTTTAATTTCGTCAGAAAACTATTTGCAAGTTACTGCCTTCATGACTATATTCAAGGACTAGAAAGATAAAGCAAGGTATTTTCAGAAGCTGAAAAGAAATAATAAAGGGAAGTTCTACTAATGAAGGGTAGCCAAGGTATGCCTTTACCAACAAGATTAATTTGAGTTATTTTTATCAGGCAGCTTCATTGCTGAAAGACTATGGGATTTCACTTGGTCAATCCGTATGTCTGCAATAAAACTACATTGCATTCATAACATCAAAAAGCGTCAACCAACCTTTGTTAAACCTTGTACCTTAAACCCACATCCTTCATATAATCAAGTTCCATTCCTTCCTTCAAATGTATTATCTGATTTTTACCTTTTACGCTATAATGGACTCTCCTCTAGTGAATTGACATCTACTACCATTTCATACTCCTTCTGGTCTCCAGCTTCTAGTACAGAAAGCCATAGCTTTGTCTCTCCATTCCATGTAGGTATTTTAGATAACTAAATGTGTCTTGACTCACGCTTATCAACCATGTTTAAGCAATTTTATTGAGTCAATTGTGCATATTGTTCTACTGCAGGCAGACTTTATAGGATTAATTTCACTACACTATCGACAACTACAACTTTGCCATCTACATCTCAGCCAGCTAGTCTAGTCTGCTTGTAAGGGCAATGGAGAGAAGGAAACCATTTTAGTGGTAACTCATCTGACCTGTTTTACAAAATTAATTTATGATGAAACTAATTGCTTCTTTGACAGGTCTGTTTTTTTCCTGTTTCCTACAAAGACAGTCTAGGATAACTGGCTCAGATGAATTTTAACAGGTGTTTAAATTTTAGTTACCAATTCAATCACCACTCAAAGTACCATTTTACTGGAAACATGTAAATTCTTTATGAACCTCCCTGTTGGGCAAAAGCGTTATCTAACACCCAAAGAGAAGAACATGTTATTACCGAGATGTGTGCTGCCTTATGGAAGTAAGGGTTAGCAGTACATAAGCTCTGCTGCAATTTTGTTGGGAATAGGGCAGCCTCTAAACAATAGGTAAATTCCCCATAAACTAGGCATTTTCAAATGGGCCTCTTTCAGACCACTGTCAAAAATGTCACGTGAGATCTCTCATTTTTTTGTGAATATGCTAATAATGCAGCACTTGCCTGAAAAATATAAACCATTTCAGGATGAGTCCACCATTCCTCTCAAAGATAGGCTACTATGTGCAAAGAATCCAATACTTATTTGGCCAGAGAACAACACACAAGAAGGACACTCGCTGTACAGTGAAGACACTGTTGCAAATGAGGACATTAACGATCACTGCTCCACAGATTTCTTAGACACTGAAGAATCAATGGTTGAAATGCACAAAAGATAACTTCATTACTTCACCTTCCAGAAAGATTCTTTAGCTGTCTTCAACTGCAGGTTGCAGAATCAGACTTTTACTTAATTTCTCTCTTGGTCTTGTACTCTTTTTCTGCATTTCAATACCAAGGCATGATGCACAAGCAACCCTTGGTCACAGTAAAACAGATATGTATCCATCACTTTACTTATAAAGGAATGTCTTATTTAACTGGAAGGATGAATAGATGTCTAGCCACACGGTGGTGGGAAACACTGATACAGCGCCTGCAAAAAATGGCAAGAACCCTCCATAAACATCTTTTTTAGACCCCTACTTAAAAGGCCACCGTTTACCTACCTTTCTCATGGTAATCTTCACTTTGAACCTAATAAATATAATGTTGATATCCAAAAGTAACTACAGAAAAATAGTAGCATATAAACCTAAAATCCCGAGTCCTACACTTACTGACAAATACTTTTTATCTACTCATTTACTCTTCATGTTAAGCTTAAGTAAATCACTTGGGGATATTCTCCTTTAGCACTTACATTCTCTTGAAAAAGTTCAGGGTGCATTCCTCGTACAAAATGTAGAGCAAACATTAGCTGATCAGCCTGAAATAAAAGCAGTAAAAACGTATTTATATGTTCATCAAAAGCCACCTTTATGCTTCTTTTATAAGTAACAACATTTCATTAATAAAACACCTCTAATTCCATAGCAGTGACTTAATGACACATATCCTCATTCAAACTTGCTACATACCTCTGCAACTTAGAGACAAACACTAACTCAAACCCTGTATCTAAGTACATCTAAACTCAAGGGAAGAAGAAAAATCAGGTACTTGTAATAAAGCAAACATACTAAACAGAATCCATTATTTTTTAAACTGTGCATAGGTAATGCTTGAAATCTTCTTATAGCAAAATTTTGAAACAGAATTTTGATTAAAAAAAAGAAAACAAGCAACTGTAACCTTCTGACTTTTTTCCTAGATCTGTTGCATCACTTGAATTTCAACCAGTCTCTGAGCACTGAAGCAATAAACCATAAATAAGGATTTACTGGAGCCATAGAATAAACCATGCAAACATTCAAGACAATATTTTTTAAAAGAATATTGGCTTGTTAAAACTGGGATTCCTATGTCCATACACAGAAACATTCATTAATGTGTTTTACCAAAGCTGTGCTGGAAAGGACAGATTACTATGTAATGAAGTCAACGTGAAAAACTGGAAGTTGGTACTCTGAAAAATCAGAAGCACTCAGAAACCTAGACTGAGGCCTCCAATTTTCAAAGTCTGGCTGTAATCTGGAAGATGTATTTTACCAGACAGTAGAAGATACACACATATTTTCCTTCATTAGAATTTTAAGTAAGCATAAGGAAGCTCGTACCTCTTCCTTTCAAGAAGGTGAAACTACTAAAAAGCATAAAGCACAGGTGAAAGGGAAGAACAGAAGAACAAACAATAATGCTGTCATGGTTTAACCTGGGGTATTCCGAAATCTTTGCCTTCTGGC